TAGTGGCAGGGTTCTTACTCTGGTTCTTTCAGGAGTTCTTTCTCTGGGATGCATCTTTTGACATAGCCGATCGCAAAAGTGTTTTCTGTGTCTCAGTGAACTCACTGAGTTCTTTCTGAACGCACTCTGGAAATGTTTGGGGAACAGAACAAGGAGGTTTCATGGCCCATTCCTTTCAGTTTCAGCCAGGAGACTTGCTACGTGCTGTTTGCATGACAGGTGCTCCACTTGGAGCAGGATGCAGCGAGGCATGCTTTTTCCTTCTTTAAGATGCAGTCCCTCGGGTACAGACTGTAACCACACGTTGTTTAAATAGCACAGTGTGCTCCAAAATGCTTTTCCTTAAATTACAACGATTAAAGTCTCATCTCTGATCGATACTTCAGATCTGCGTGAGGCTGGCTCGTTCCTCTGATGCGGGGAACCCCGTTGTCTTTCATTACTGTTATTTCTTCCTCTTCCACCCATTGCACAAATCCCATTCCTGCAAACTACCGTTGAGCTGCTTTCCTCCAGCTGTCGTTTGATAGCAGTGAGCCTGAGCCAATTAGGACTGCAACAGGCCACCAAAGAGCCCTCCCTTCCCCACAGACAATAAATAACTCTAAGCTGCAGACATGTGCCCACTGCTGACATTTCTTCCCTGCTCAGCTCACCGCTCTGTACGCTGCTCCAGACCGTGGGAGCTTTTTTAAAAACACAGCCTGGATCCTTCAGCCTATTTTGAGAAAAGAAAGGTGCTTTTCTGAGTACTCCTAACCTGTGTGCAAAATGCAGTTTCTATGACAGCCCCTAACGAAATTAGCCTATATTTTGCATGATCATTTCAAGATTGAGGTTGGTCCGAAGACTTTCTTTAGAAAATGTTGCATGACTTCGGCTGTGAGAACAGAAGGAAATCTGTATGCATTGTATCCATTGTCATTTCTTTGCTAAATAATGGCTGTAGAGAAATATGTCAGAACAGGAAGAATATTTGATATTAAGAATGCCATGCCTGCTCTAGATTTCTCTATGAAGCCTCCTCACGTGTAATTTAAAAATAAGGTTCCTGCAAATGCCTGGGAGTCAAAAGTCCAGGCACTCATTCTCTGGCTAAGCAGCTCATTAACTTCACGTTCACTTTGGCATCTTTGGTCATGAGCCTCTGCAGAAAAAAAGGACCTTTTGTTTTGAAACATGAATCTGCAAACCTGGAGTAGATTGAGAATTGCCCCAGGAAGTCTGTGCAGACAAAATTTGGTGCCCAAGGATTGTTACCCCGAGCAGGAGCTGACACGAGGACACAGAATTGTAAATCTGCAGTCTGATAGTGGGCAAAGGAATACAGGCAGCAAAGCTTGCAGAGGGCAGTTCTGTGGAACAGGAACAGCGTTGTGTGAACTGTGCAAAGCTGTTGTTCCTGCACTGGGGGCATCCTGACACTGCTTTGTGTCACACAAAGCTCCGTGTGCAGGAGAGAACTAAAACTGTGCATGTGCTTCTCTCTGTAAGTCAAAAGGCTGTACTGGTATTTCTCGGATACGAAGCAGCATCTTCAGACCCTCGGGCTGAAGAGGATATTAAAAAATATCCCAATCTGTTTGTTGCATATTGATTAACGGAGGTTTTATTAATGTCACGTGGGGTGGCAAATTGGGTCCTTCAGAACAAACATCAGGGATTTTCTCAGGCTGTGTGACAGGAAGGGGAAGTGGTTTGACAGAGCCTGATTTAGACGTTCCTTGGGTACGAGGCTGTTCACATCTTTTCTCTCTCTCCCCCAGAGGACTCGTTTTTAATTGCAAGAGTGAGTTATGAAGCCAGCAACTGCTTCCTCTAAATTTCTGATTAAGATGGTTGGTAAGGAGCAAAACACAACGTAGAAATGTACAGCAGGGCACAAGCTTGTTACAGACCTCTTGACAGTGAAGCACAGAACTCGGGCTCGATTGCATGGCGTGTTTTAGAAGCAGCTGTAAGTGCTGATCGGGCTGGGAAGAGCGGTTTGGTTTTCAGACAGCCAAAGCAATCCAGTTTGTTTCCCTTGACACTTGTTTTGCCCTGGCTTGGTAGGAACTTCTGCAGCACGTATGTTGTCTCCCACCGCCCTCCAGTGGTTCGCAGAGCACGGTGCAAGTTTCCCTGGGATACATGCTTCCGAGGAAATTGCACTGGCACTCTTATTTCAGTCATTAGCAAAAATGTGATGCAGCTTCATGTAGCTGTGGGAATTGAGGAAGCTGGGAAGTACCACAGAACTTTAATCTAATGGGAGTTAAGGAGGCATACCTACGATGTGGCAGCAGCTGCCAAATGCACCCATCCAGCTTTAGCGTATGTGGAGCCTTGGACAACAGAGCACAAGTAAAAGGACTTGATGCTTTTCCTGTCCAGTATATTGTTGTTTCAAAGCCTTTGCTATGGACTTGCAAGCAGTTTTTACTTCATCTGTTTTTGCTTTTGTCCAAACAAGTCTGTGCTAACATTAACATTTAAATGTTAGATTTAAGCCTACTGCAAAAGTCCTAAAATAGCACACTGCTCATTTAAATTGCTAGCAGATCACACATCTAGCAGAGAATGACGGCAGTCACAACGCTCACTGTTCATCCAAGCTACAGTATGTGTTTAGGACAACAAAATTACCTCATCTACCACAGGGATCACCAGGACTACTGGATGAATGTTATAATTTGACTTCCCTGTCTAAGCTCAGACCACGGTGACTCGAGTAGAAGGACAACTGGGACTACAGCTGGAGCTGAGGCAGCAGCATTGCCTTGAGTGCCACTGAGCAGCTGTAAACTGCTCCCAAGAGCTCAGATTCCCCTTGCATCCATTCCAGTGAGCAAGATCCTCCCTGTGCCCTTCTTTTTTATTGCAGTTGTTTGGGTGTGATGTTCCAGCTCTGTAACCACCCGGTGGCCTCTACTGTTCTGTTCTCAGCCACCTTATTTCTGGTGTGGTAACATGGCTATAACAGACGCACATACACTTTCTGGTGGGAGAAGGGGCCAGAGAAGAAGCAAGACTTGCTGTGCAGCCACATGTCGAGTGTTGCATTCAGTTTTGTGTCTCTCACTACAAGAGAGACATTGAGGCCCTGGAGCACATCCAGAGAAGGACAGCAAAGCTGCAGAGGGTCTGGAACACAAGTCTCATGAGGAGTGGCTGAGGGAGCTAGGATTGTTTTATCCAGAGGAGGCTCAGGTGAGGCACTATCACTGTCTACAACTCCCTGAAAAGAGGATGTAGCAAGGTGGGGGTGGTCTCTTTCCCATGTAACAGCAATCAGACAGGAGGTGATGGCCTGAAGTTGTGCCAGGGGAGTTTCAGGTTAGTTATTAAGAAACATTTCTTCTCAGTAAGATTGGTGAGGCACTGGAATGGGCTGCACGGGGAGGTGTCACTGTCACTGTTAGTGTTGAAGAAAAGGGAAGATGTGGCACTGAGTGACATGGTCTAGAGTGGTCACAGGCATGGATTGATGGTTGAACTGGATTATCTTATCGGTCTTTTCAACCTTAATGATTCTGTGATCACGGGATGTTAGCAAGAAAGGCCTGCTTTAGCCCATTTCTGCTGTATTGCTCTCCCCTTTTTGTAAATCTCAGCACAAGCTTGACAAAACTGTCTTTTTTTTTATTTAAACTATTTGGCCTGTTGTAAATTTTTCCACCTACAAAATGTTTACATTTATATTATTGAGATCAACATTCTTCTTTTTAAATTTTCAAAGTCTGCATGGAAAAGATTTGACTTTGCATTCAGATGAACTCCCAAAGGCTTTTGAGTGTATTACAGAGAACAGAAAGGCTATCATGAGCTGCTGATACGCACGGCAATAGAAATTTCAGCATAGAATTTCCCCTCCAGTAGAACAGAAGCTTAGTATAAGAGATGACTGAAAGAATCTGTTTAATTACCAGTTCATTTGTCTTTGTATTCTTCACTGAACTTCCACAAAGCATCTAAAGCTACACGAAGTGTTGAAGTAGAATCCTTTCTTCCTTAAGGACGAAGACAATTATTTCTGTGGCAAAGAAAGCGTCTTGCAAGGCTTGAGTTGAATTTTTCATTGCAACAATGGTCAAAGTCTGCAGGTCAAACACTGTGTAACCTGGACTCTGTTAAGACACGATATGACTGTAGTGATAAAGTCCTTTCTAACCACTGTATGCTACTAACACAAATTACATGAACCTGAGGTTCTGTGTTTTATTGCCTTTTTTAATGCCTCCAGTTTTTCCAGACTTATCTTTAAAAATCAGCAGCCAACTTGGTTCAGCTTAAAGATCTACTTAGCATAGGATGCCATTTCCAACAGCGGCCATAAGCAATTTGGGAAGTTTGTTACTTCCTCAAACCAAAGCTTCTTGTGCTGCTTGCCAGCTGCAGCCCAGGTGAGTGTTTGCATGGCTGGGAGATGGGTGGCACTGTTGTATCACACTTTGCACTTGCTGTGTTCCAGCTATGGGCTGCAAGATCGTTCATCAGAATCAAGGCATTTTGCTAGTAAATGTCATATTCTTCTGTCTGGTTTAGAAGGCAAGCATTTACTCCTCAGTGGAGCTGCACTTCTTAAGTTTGTATTTTATGGGAAGGCTGCTTCACCACTGCGTTCCTCTAATTGTAAGCAACTGAGACTATTTCAGAATGGTTTGAATATTACAAACTAACGTTTATGTTTTGTTCTCAGCTGTGGATCAGGTAAAGTCAAAATAAACATTCAGCTTTTGACTTGTCTGTTAGCAACATGTTGTGGCTGTACTGCAACAAAACGGCTTGAGGTGTCATTCACAAATAGCTAAAGAACAGAACTCTTCTTCCTCATTCTTCATTCCCAGGAATCTGTGAAAATGAGATCATTATGAATTTTATGGTGACAGAGCACACATCACTGTTCTGTATTTTACTGTGTTAAGTCTATAGAGGCAGCATGGCCTAATTAGTTTCTTGTCATATATTTCACAAGTCTAATTTTCTTTCTTTCTATCTTTTTTTTTTTTTAATTGTAGTGGGAAAAACTACAGATGACGACAAGTGAGAGGAGGAAAATAGTTTGTTCAGTCACATTCCATGTAATTGCAATTACCTGTGTTGTCTGGTCATTGTATGTCTTAATTGATAGAACTGCAGAGGAAATTAAACAAGGCAATGATAATGGTAAGTGTCTTTCATCTTCTATCTTGTTGATAATGCAGTGGTTGGATTTGAAATGTGGCTACGTAACCAGTCACATTCTGTTCTCAAGGAACATCTCACTGATACGTGGCTACATCAGGCACTTTAATGCAGAAGTAATGAACACATCTGTGTTAAAAGCTTGTGTTATGCCCCTGCACAGAGATCTCAGCTGAGTGTAACCATTAGAGACGGCTTAACTAGCCTACTGCTTCTTCTTAAGTTAATCTCCCTTCATGAGAAAAGCTTACACAAAAAGATGAGTCAAAATCAAACCTCTGAGTGCAAGCTCAGTTCATAAAATAAGAATATATTACCCACCTGAACCTCAGTATCCTGTAAAAACATAATAATCATCACCATTATTATTATTATCATCATCCAGCCCCCTGCAATAGGCAGGGACACCTCCCTTTAGACCAGGTTGCTCACAGCCCCATGCAGCCTGGGATTAATCTAGTTGTGTTTGCTGTGGTGGCCAAAGACACTGGAACAGTTTAACAGGAGAAGTTGTGGTGTCTCCGTCAACGGAGATACTGAAAACCCAACTGGACATGTTCAGGACAACCTTCTCTAGGTGACCCTGCTTGAGCAGGGAGGTTGGACCAGATGATCTGAAGAGGTCCCTGCCAACCCAAGTTTCTGTGATTCTGTTTCAAAAATAAAAATAAAAAACCTCAGAAATTGAAAAAAGTCTGGGAGAGAAGAGAGCGGGGAGGTAAATTATTGGAAGTGCTTTAGAAACAAATTATTCTTAATTATCAGTAATTTCCAGTAATCCTTTGGGTGCTACATACAGGACTTCAGCCTGATTGTGCCTACTGTGCACCGGGGAGTTAGTTAATGTAGAACTAATAGATTATTCAGCTGGTGTGTTTTGTAGCAGATTAACTATGCAGAAACAAAGTGCTCCTTTCATTAGCTTTAGCTTACAGGTTTTATAACAGTTTGAATTCTGAAATTCAGAACTCGGAACACTGATTTATTGCCCCGAAACATTCAGGTAAGTTGATAGAATTGAACATGTCAAGGGGAAAAAAGAAAAAAAAGAGAATTAGCTACCTGATTTAATTTCTGAGAAGCATTTACTATGAGGCCTGCAAGGTCTGACAGGAGTCACGATGCTAGCCTGTACTCTTCTTCCTCTAGTTGGAAGATTCCAATTGAAGACATTTACAAAACACAGCCCTTTGCCTGAGCAGCAGTAACTTACCCTTGTGAAGACACGTTCCCAGTTCAGCACTCCTGCCTTTCTGGGATGTCCCATGCAGTGCTACCCCTGCTAGTGACACTCAAATACTCTTCTGCCTGCCACGCTGAGATGGCAGAACTCTCCTGTTCCTCAGTCTGAAGTTTGGTCACATGGCAGTCAGTCGCGTTCTAATTCACTGTGTACAAATTCAGAGAAGTTAAAATAAAAGATATATCACGTATTTAGAAAGGAAATAGGCTGGTTGTAGAATTTACACTTAAAAGTGCATGTTTAACATAAATAGGTTACAGTTTGGACTGCACTTCCTTGTGTGTGGAGATTATATTGTGATCTACTGCTTTCTATTTCTAGTCCACACTTGATTTAAGTCTTAGTCTGTTCAATCTCAGATTCAGTCTTAAATATGAGGAGGTTGATTAAAAACTTCTCTTTTTTTTTTTGTTCTGAATTGACTTTAAGAATTAGACAGTAGAGGGACAAAGATCTGTGCTGCACTCTCTAGTTACAGGGAAAGTAAAACAGGCAGAGTTTTTTGCCTGCCTTGTTAGGTAAATATTTGATACTCCTGATGATATGCAAGAAAAATAAGTAACAAGTAGCAGATAAATACATGATTCAAAGTCTTGGTTCGTCATTTTTCTAATGCCCTGAGGACAGGACTAGGAATGGCTTTGTAGTTCTTACTAGTAGAACTCAACCATCCCATTTGTTCAAAAGGAGGGAAGTACGGGCTTTGGATGAGCTGAATTTACACAACTGATCAGCCAGTATGAATTAAAATGTGTGAGAATTGCAGTAATGAATCTTGGTAGGCTCAGAAAGTATTCACAACATGGATGGAACTCGGTGTTTGCCAGATGTTTATGGATGATTCTCCACACTAAAAAATGAACAAAGAGATGCCTGAGAGCTAGTTACAGCACACAAAAACAAGTGTTGGTGAAGAGAGCTCTCCTGCCCATGAACTTGCTTGCTGGGAGGGAAAAAAGAATTTCTACAGACCCAAATGTGTGTAATGAGCGGGGAGAGAGATGTGCAGTTTGCTTTTCTCTCCTTTCATCATCTCTGCTTCTGTGGAAATGCTGGGGAAAAGACACAACACTGGAGGAAAAGAATTTTAACTGTGTTGAGGAGGGGAAAAACTTACAGCCCCGACCAGCAGTAGTATTGCTAATATTGCATAAGTCTAAAATTCCTTGTTCAAGTGTTCATCTCAAATAATATTTAAGCTTTACTTTCCTCTTTACAAATGCAAATAAATAAAAGTATAAGCCTCTGAATTGGCAAACCTGTCACTGGTCTGTGGAATGGCAATTTTAAGTATATATCTTAAGTATTCTAGAACTAATAAGGCACCAATGCTAGGGAATCGAGTTTCAGATAAATTTGCTCTGCTTGAAGAAACTGGCTTGGGCTTAGCTGAGCTTTGTCTCTTCTAATAAAGCTCAAATCTTTGAAAATGTGGCAATCTTGGAATGCAGAGGTGTGCAATTCACTATGCCATGCTCTGGCTTAAGCAAAAGACGATGCATCCTGTGCTAGCACGTAAGAAGCAGCCAGCAAGCACATCCTTACTGCTGCAGCGTGGAACAGGCTCTACAGGAAAGCTGAGCTGTTTATTCATCTTCTGCATTTTGTGTTCAACACTGCAGCAATGGCTTGCTGGTTCCAAATGTCATAAGCCACTGACAGGTCTTAGATGCAGACCGTGCTGTTTTCATTGTTATGAGAACAGGAAGGAGATGGTGTTTTTTAAAAGCATTTATTAAAGATGTTTTTCCCAAAAGGAAAAAACTGACAGTTGGATATGCTACCTTAGCAAATAGCGCTTTGGTCATTCTATTTTTCCCAGAAACAGATTTAATTAGCAAATTCAACAAACCTCAATAGATTTTTCCATGTCAAGTTGAACTAAAGAGAGTGTGTGATTAGCGAGACACAGTGATTTACATTGGCTTTGCATGCTTCCATTTTGCTGCAAATTTCAAAAATTAATTGGCCAACGCCATCAGTTAATACACTAATTAAGTAGAGGTATTACATGAAGGCTGATCCAAAAGTATTACCTCCTGATTTATTATGCTGGCCCACAACGTCAGAGGAGGATGTTGGCGATATGGCAGTAGAGGCTGAATCCTCCCTCCAGTATTCCATAGCATTTTGTTGCTGTGTGGCAGGCTGCTCAAAGACTGACAGCTGAAGCACTGATACAGAAGTCTTAACCCTCATGTATAGTGTGCTGAGCACATCTTTAATGTGATGAGGCAGTGTGCAATGGAAGGAAAGTAGCTGTTCCTTTACATTATGCTACGGAATGTCTGACAAAAGCAGATGCAGTGATATGAATTAATGAGTGGAAGGCTGTTCTTAAGGCAACAGGAGTTCATTCTGTTAAAATCATAAGATCACATTTAGGTCAGTGCAGATCCTGTTAACATTTTTCGTATCAGATCCAAAGACAAATGCTTTTGTCTCTAGCTCTTTAGTGTCAGCATCCTTCAATTTTTTTTTTTCTGCAAGTGTCAGTGTGATTCCCGTTTATTCAGTGTAATTGATCTGATAAAGATTAAGGCAAAAATAATAACAGATAAAACCAAAACTGTAAAGTTTTACTGCACAGGAACAGAAATTCCTTTTGACAGTGGTGAATTCTGGGGGTTGTACAAACAGAATAGTAAGAAAGAAAGGTAGGCAAAAACATTGGATCAAGAAATTGAGTTCTTTCCACTGTGTTTTTTTTACTATACTCTGGCTTCAGACTAAAGCTAGAATTGGGACATTGTAAATGTTGGCTTTCCAGATACTGTAACACTGCCATGTTTCTAGGATTATATGCAAATAACAGTTGGTGAAGATGTGCATAGTATTTCTGGGGGTACAGTGGGTTCGGTTGTGGTACTTTTATTTTTGGTTAAGGAAACATATGGGGCTAAAATGGTTGGGGTTTGTTTGGTATGGCTGTATCAAGCATTAGAACCTCTCTTGTGATCATGATTTGGTCTTATTTGGCCAAATTGTAGAGATCAGAAGCGGGTGTAGGTTCTTGTCTGTCCCTGTACCTATGGAGAACAGGAGCATGTTTGTATTTGGGAGTGCTTACAACTGGCTTCTTTTAACACATGTCACTGACATTGAGTACTTGATGTGCACTAAAGGTGGTAATACATGTTTTGTTTCCGAGGTGTCCTCGAATGGCCGTTTTGGACAAAACTCGTGGTGGTGGCCATCGGATTCACAGGAGGCCTCGTCTTCATGTACGTGCAGTGTAAGGTTTATGTTCAGCTGTGGCGCAGGCTGAAAGCCTACAACAGAGTGATCTTTGTTCAGAACTGCCCAGACACGGCCAAAAAACTGGAGGAGAAGAACTCTTCGTGCACTCACAGCTCGGATGTCAAGGATGCCGTGGTGGTGCCAGTAGCACAGACAGGTACAAACTCTCAGCTGGCAGCTGAAGAAATGACATCTGAGGTCATGCCAGTTTGACAGAGACAGCACTGTTTCTTCCTTGCAGAATAAGGCATAGTGTTTTCTACACTACAAATGCTGAAAGAGAGTAGAAAGGACTGTGCATTTTTTGAGTAAAAACACAAAACACAAATCCCCATGAGGAAAATGGATCCAGCAAAGCAACTTGTTACTGTATGGAATGTGACCATTTGTGAAGTAGTTTCTCAACTAGTCAGCGAGTGTAGTGACAGTGGAAGTGTAGAAAGTGCAATAGAGAACAGGTTTAACAGACAATGCCAAACTCATGTGATGAGATTATTATTATTTTTTTTAACAAAAGAAGATTGGATGGCTGGGCTAGTAGACACAGATCTGCTATAACCATTTTGTTTACAGGAAACAAAACCAAACCTTTCACCTGTTTACTACTGAAAGTTGTATTTGCTATTTACCTTCCTAAAGATGCACTTCAAAAGTGTACCAGACAAGAGATATGCATTAGGAGAGCTGAAGAGCTGTACTGCAGTGTGCACTCCCTATGAAGTAACAGATGTTTGTGTGACTCCATTGGAGCCTGCGTGTTTGGGCAGCTGTGTCAACTGAGGATATGTGAAACATTTGAAGGGCAGCACTGTTTCTGAATATGCCTGAATTTTTGACAAGTAGGCAGTTCCAGCCAGTATGAACTCATGTCTCCATAGGCTACAGATATGTAACTGCAGCTGTCAGCAAAGCAGCAAAACAGGAAGGAGAAAAATAGTAGATCATGCATTTAGAGCGGCAGCTCAGCTGTTTATTTTATTTTGTAAGAGTGAATTTATTTTTTTTTTTTTCCTAAATAGGATATATGAAGTTTTGAGGCAAAACTATAAATTAAAAATGCATGCAAAACCATAGAAATTGCTATTGGCAGAGGTCTGAGAAAGGATTACACCGGGAAGATGGAAAGTATTTTTCATCTCAAGCTTGTAAGATTCGTGATACAGAGAGCTACACAGGAAAGGGTATAAGCAGGTGTCTTAAAGGAATGTTAGCTCTTATTCCCCTGTTCTGAAAAGTTAGTTTTTATCTTCCTGACTGCAGAAATAAACCACTGGTTTCTCTCTGTACAGGTAAACTTGAAATGTTAGATATTCAACAGTTCAGTTGTTAATTTCATGTTTTGAGCATTCTCATGTAAGAATGAAGTGCAGATAGCATTAAATGGTGCAGTAGGTAAAATGAATGTAGATGTAATATTGTGTCTAACAGGCTGAACTGCATAAAGAACACATTTTGTGATTTGCTTCTCATATCAGTGATGTTTGCCATCAGGACAGGACAGCAAGGACTGACTTGGAGTAGTTATGTGTTGGCTTAGACAAGCCTACAGTTTGAACTTACATATATTTAAAAAGTAATGTTTAAAGGTTTGAGTTCTTTTGGTATTTAGCTAAGCAAGAAAAGCAAACGGGCAAATAAAGAAGCAGAATAAAGAAAGTAAGAAAGCACAGGTTCATTCACAAGAGGAATTAGCTGTATTTGCCATGCACTAGTCTGCTACAGAAGCCTTGCAGTTTCTAATAGTAAATTTCCTCTTTACAAGTTCAAACATCTCCAGTTAAATAACAGAATCATCACATTCTCCCAAATAGGAAGGGTGCTGGGCCTAAACTGTACTGAAATTCATTGTTAGGTGTTCCTTTGTGACTGTGTTTAATGGCTTACATCTCAGGGACCACAGGAAATGGCAGTATTAGTGAGAATTTATTCTTCTCAGAGCATTGTATTCCTCTTTTAGAATCACTTGTGTAGTCTGGCTGTGACTAAGTGCCATCTGGCTAGACAGGGCACAAACTCTAACAGCTGCCACTTGAAATCAGATAAGTGAGTACCCAAATAATTTCTGTTTACAACTGCAGAGAAAACTTTACAAGGTCTGTAGGAAACCATGACAAGTACCAAGGACTGCCTCATAACTGCACATGCTTAAGGTGGTTTTCTAATAGCGCGTATCTACGTGCTAAAATGTAAATCTCATGATACCTGAAGCAAGTCAGACACTTAAAATCAGTAGATGCATCTGCACATTTGGAATTATGTCTACAATTAAACGCGATGAATCACAGCAAAGTTGGTTGACAAGAAAAAAAAGCATTGTTATGTAAGTACTGGATGATGTGCTGCTGTCATCTAACAGGCAGTGACCTCGCTATTTCAGGCAGCTTGTTCCTTAACCTGCTGAACTGTCATCACCCCATTGAAAGTACCCCATATTTTGACAGCTTACCAGAGACTCATTCATTGTTCTGTTCTTGAACAAGCATAACATTCAAATTAAAGACAAATAAATACTTGAGGCTTCTGCAAGCAGATCTCTTCCATCCAATGAGATTACTGCTCCTTTTAATTAATTTATTTTAAACATGCTGTAGAGTCAGCAACAGAACAGCTTGCAAAGCCATTTTATACTGACAGCTTCGAAACACCATTTGGCACTCAAGTATTTGTGCAAATGAGCTTACAGTTAAGTGTAAGAATGGAGGAAGGCTTTGGTTGAAATTCCTCCTCTCCCTTTGAAATATTTATTGGCCAGCAGGAATAGCAGCAGAAAAAGACACTGGCTGCTGCAGTGTGCAGCAGCAAGAGAGATTACAGCAGCTTTGATGCAGTGTTTAAACTCTGTTAAGCATTACAGTATTAGCCCATGCATTTCCTTTTCCTTCTGCTTTCAGGGATTTCATGCTGGGTTGGAATTTGTTTCTGTAGCAGGGTGAGACCTCTTTTGAGAGGGCAAGGAGCTGCCCACAGCAACATGCCTTAGATGCAGGTCTGCATGAGTCATGGTGGTGCATGAATTCAGATGCTAGCCAGCTGCTTACCAACCAGTGAGCTTTCTGTCTCGCAAAAAGGGCAGCTTTCTAAGCTGCAAAAACAGCATCCTGGTTTTTTTGTTGTTTTGCTTTTAATCAAATGAAATACCAAATACAGATCAGTATCAAGCTACCTGTGTAGCCACTGTACGTCTCAGGCAAACAAACACCCCAGCAGTGGAATTTAGCTTGGCTACAATCCTCCAAGGGCTGAACCTTGCTCCAAGCTGCCATTACTGAGAAGAGCCTAATCTGCATTCTGTTTAAGTGAAGCTGCAATGAAGGTAGGTGGAAGTAATCTGGTGTGAGAGCTCAAATTTAAACAAGATACTTTTAATCTGTGGACATGCACGTTTCTTCTCTTGGCTTAAGATACAAGCATTATGAAGTTTATTTCAACCTGGCATAGATATACCATTTTTGACTGTCACTAGCATTACGAAGATGATCAACGAGTCCAACTGTGCCATTCACACACTGCTTTATTGAAAGCAGTGCTTATTTTTATTGTGTAGGAAGAAATAGTAAGTTCCCCATCACCAAGACAAACCACTTCTAATTTCTAATAATGTGATGAGACTTTATGATGAAAGTATTTTACTGTGTATAATATTTGGAACTACAAGTTTGTGTTACTTGTTCGACTCCCTCTCTTTTGCAAAAGAAAAAAAATGTGTGTTTTTTGTGGGGGAATGTGTACTGAAAGACAGAAAGTAAGGGAAACAAAAGTAATGTATCTGCTTATTGTTGTGAAAAAAAAAATGTATTTGTATTAAACAAATGATCCAAATTTCTGCAGTATTCTACGTTTGTCAGTTTGTTTTAGAGGGCAGCGCATGTGGGACAGGACACGAATTTGGCAGCACGACACCCTGGCAAGAAAGGTGAGCAATATAATCAGCTGCACACAGTACTGATGAATCTGCTGGATGCCCAGTTATGGGTATCACAGTTGGGCAGAACGCTCAGAAAAACACCGTGCTGTACAAAGCCATTTGAAAAGAATGATGGTTTAACTTGCAAAGGGGAAGGAAGACTGCGAAGGGATAAGATATATAAGAGCAGGCTTCAACAACGTAGTCAGTTGTTTCTAGAGCTGTAGCAAATGGACAGAGCAAGCAAGGGTAGGAGGATGAATATCTTCCTAGGAGCACAGTGCTTTGGAATGAACAGAGGTATGTGATTCTGTAATGTCCATCGCAATAAACTCTTACAAACAGGTGGGACAAACATTAGAAACTTAAATTATTTATACCTCTGTAACTCAGTAAACAGTTCTAGCCAAGCTAAATGATCTGTATGCTGAAGAGGACTGCATCCACCTGCCACAGATCATTGTTAGGAAGGAGGTGGGCTAAGCTTTGAATCTTCAGTGTTTTTGCTGGAATAGGTCATCGTATGGCTGCTACAGATGCAGTCAAAACACAGGAGAAGTGTTCTAACTAATTATATTCCCCACATCCAAGGCCAACAGATTGGTCATTTTGTTAAAGGTGCCCTGACACTAAATCAAGTGTGGGTTCGTGACTCTCTATAAGATATAAAATTGAAGGACAAGCATAACCAAAAATATACTAGTAATAAAAATATACTTCTATGTCAACGTATACAAAAATACAACCATGTTTATTATTAGAATCTATGGGTATAAGCCTGCCACAACTTTTTGCTTTGCACACAAGAGTTAGAATCTCTGGCTCAGGAACACCTTACTTTTCTGTTCAGTTTGCTCTCTTTACACACGAAGAAGGATGCTAGATGGTACTTACTCCCCCAATAAAATATCGAGGCTATTCTTATGAAATTGATCCAAAAGCACTGAAAAAGCAGCTCACTTTGTACCACACAACCACTACGTGTGATACTGTGCTCAGAAAATAACCTCAGATCAATTTTAACACCGTGGCTGAGAACAGAAAAGGTTACAGATCTGCTGGAGGGGGCCCTAGGAGAAACCCATCTTCACAACCTACATTAATGGAATTACAGAACATTCTGTCGTTTGTCAACAGCTATAAGATTATTATATGTATATATATATACACACACATATACACACACACATAAACATACATACATATGCTTGTTGTGTTTTCATGTTGTTTATATATAAATAACAATGAACACTATTCCAAACAAAGAAGACAGAAGATTATCATCATCATTAAGTAAGTGTGTTAGCTAAATCAAGTCTTATTTTAGCAATGGATAGCCTGCCTTGAGAGGTGTGTGGGAAACTGTCCCACCTGATTGACACGAGGATTAACTGTTCTGATTTCTTTAGAGGCTTCTAGTTTAATGCTATTTTATCAAGCAGAATTGTTGCATTGCTAATATAGCCATTAGATCCTATGCAATGTATTATTTGAGGAAATAAGGTTAGAATGAATCAAAGGCCATTTTATCTATATATGTCCATGACTGGGAGGCAATGAGTGTGCTGTGCAAAACTTGATGATAGTTCACAAACAACACATGTGAAAAGTGAAGTAACAACATTTTCAATGGTTTTATTAAAAATAAACAAAAAAAACCTTACTAGGATTCAGAAGCAGGACTGCTGCTTGCAGGAGACCCAAAAGAAAGCAGCGGTCAAAAGAGAAAAATCACTTGAAGTTCTGGCAAAAAGCTTTAGTGACTGTTCCTCAAGTGCTACTTTGCCTCTTGGGTCGCTAGCACATTTCTAGAGCTGCAGGGTTGGGGAAAAGAATACTTCATTAAAAATCTGTGGGTAAGAACTAATGACCATTTTGTGACCCAGGAAGAGGTACTGCTGCTTGGTAAATATTTAAATCCGCATGTTGCTGTCTTGGTTGACTACATGTGAATGTAGTTAGACCAATAGAATGCTGCTGCCTTCCTCTAATCTGTCTAGAAAATGACTTTTTAAAGCAATAACAGCATTTTGGTCTACTAAATTTATTTTTCATTTGTAACAGGTAACTTGTTGCACACTGAACTGTTACTTTTAAGACAACAGGTCTGTATTTGCCATTTGAGCAGTTAAGCTTTAGGGAATTCGATTGCTGGACTACTGCAGGAAGTCTCCATAGTCAGCTGGGTTTTAGAGTTTCATTATTAGGAAAGTTGCACTAAGTCTTTCCAGCTGCACTTAAGACAACAGCTTGAATTGCAGAACAACTCATCAGCAAAGGAAAAGAGAAAGGTGATGCATGCTGGTACTGATACATCACTTAAGATCAAACCAGCTGATCTGATATTAAGAAGTGCAGCTCTTTGCCCTTAACTAGAAAACTGCGCTAGGAACTTCTTTTCTGCTGAGAAAAATGAATAAATCCTTTTTTATTACTCTTCTACATCTGTTAGGCTTTTTCTTTCGTTGGTCTCGATGATCTCTAGAGGTCCCTTCCAACCCCTACAGTTCTGTGATTGTGTGATTCTTTTTTAAGTTGGAGTTCACCACTTTTGGATTCCAGATTCTGTCTTCCCATATGGCATTGTCATTACAGAGATGCATGGAAGTGCTACCCCACTAAAGTAAAAAACAAAACTAAAAGATTCATGCATCACGTAATTCTCAAGTATATTTCTTGAACTACCAAGGAATGGCTTAGAAAATGGTTTGTATCTATTGCCTTTGTTGCCTTCTTGGCTTGTAGCATCCCACTGCACATACTGACATGCCACAAAGGATCAGCATGTGCTTTGGTAGAGGGGAAAAAAGTGAAAATACAGTAACAAGCCAGGCTAACTGCTTAACTGCAGGCTTGTTTTTCCACAGCTGAAATGTTTGTAGTCTCATCCCTTCAGAAATGTCAGTGTACATCAGACTGAAAAAGCCATGGTGAGCACTTCCATCAAATCAATTGTGTGTTTCTGACACTAAAGAGCTTTCAGTCCACCACTAGAAACCATCCCTGAGAAGGGTATTATTTTCTCTTTCATTTCTTAAATCAACAGCTGATGGCTATTTGCTTAGTGTATGTGAACCAAAATCCAATTGCTACTGGAACCAAAGCCAGCTAGTTTTTTCCAGCCAAGACCATCAATATGTTCAGCTCTAGAATCAGAACCCAACAGCTCTGCTGCTACTGAAAAGATGTGAATGGAATTCATCCAGTTCCTCAGAGAAATCTTAGCTCCCCAAGGCTGTCAGGAATGAAAGCATACCTAAGGAAGGATGCTGCAAATTTCAGTGTAACAAATTAAAAAGTACAATTCCTTTGAAGAAAAAAAAATGAGTTCTTACATACAAGCTAGCTTCTGTGTTAACGTACTACTCTTTGTATGAATTTGTTTATGTTGAATTTGAGCCCTGATATTTAAAGAAATTTGAGTTTTAACAATTACAGCTTTGCAGGTCACAGTTAAGAAAGAGAAAAGTGGTAAAGCAGTACCTGACTGAATTAAGAAAGAAGTCTTCCATAAAATAACCTAACCAGAAAAAAACCCTGCCAACTATTTTAAGCATTATAACTGAGGATTTTAGCATTACAATTTATAAACCCTACAAGTTAAACAGCATTTCAAGGTATTCCCTACAGCAAATTCATAAGAACAAAGAACTTCACAGGAATGTTTCTCAATCCAGCTGTTAGCAGCAACTGCTTTCTTTTTTAAGAAACAGCATAAGAACACAGAACTCCTGAGGGCATTCATCCTATTTTCAACCTAAGAGAAGAAACTCATCCCTATACAAAACCCTAATAGGCACCTTTAAGAGCACAGGCATGGGAGGATTATGAAACTGAGAGGAAAGATTCAACTATCTCATCTGTGTAACATGAGGCAAGACTCTCTTATTCCCCTTCTCCAGGCTTCTCAAGTACAGAAACTAAACCATATAGACAAAAAGGGGTTCTTTTTTCTTTGGTTGTTTTTTTTTACCTTTCTGTGGTTTCTTACAGCTACACTGAAATACTTGGTATCACCCAAAGGCACCCCAACCACTTCCACAAGAGATGAATAAAAGCTGTCACCAGCTGGGCCCACTGCTTAATTGGGTACCTGCTTACTGCTAGACTAAATGATGCAAATATTCTTGCAACTACCAGGAAAAGGCAAAGATCTCCCACTGCAAAGTACTTCCAATGGGTTTCTGAATCCTGGCTGCTCAGTGAGCAGGGAAGATGCACTGAATTAGTCAGACTGCCAAGACATAAACAGTTTGCTGACTCAGAGACCTGCATCCTGAAGAGCAGGTATAAAATGAGACATAAGGACACAAGATATTGAATTTGATTCATATTCAAAAATTTTAAGCCAATAATATGCTGGCTGAATGTTCACTGTTTAGCACAGGTGCACAGCAAGCTTACAAAAATGCAATTAGCAAACCCTTTGCAAATATAATTACAAACACTAGCTTTATTCTTGATTCCACAACTGAAATAAGTTTCTTACAATTCCCTTCAGCCGTTCCAGCTGCTGAATCTTCATGATGCCACATCTTCTGTTTTATTCACTTCTTCTTCAGCTTCCACATCTGACACCTCAGTGTGAATGCAAACAGCATCCCTAAATGACAGCTTTCTCATTTTGATGTTCGGCAGCTTCTTCAGATCACCATCCCACTCCCTTAAAGAAAGAAAAAAAAGTCATGAAAAACAACAAGCAATAGAAGTAGTAGGAAAGAGTAGCAGCATTAGTTCACCTTTTTTTCCTGAAGTGAGGCTGCTCTTAAGTGAGGAGCCTCTCCAGTGAGGCTGCTTTTCTGCATTATGTTATCATCACAACTGCAGTATGACCAAGCATCCATGTGTTTACCACATCTTGTACACTACAGCAGCTGTAATTTCTTTGTGAAGAACTAGGTAATTTCAGATTTGA